CGCCTTCCGAGTCCGGCCTACCGTCTCCTGCATCCTCATTCGCTCAAACGTGTAAATTAATTACTCGATAACTATTGTTACTTTTGTACCGCGGCACATGACATTTCTCCTTAGTTTAACCCAATCTACCACTATTTTCAAGTTGGCTACTTTTGCATCAGACACTCTGTATATTGCCAGCAGCTCCCTGTCGTACGGGCTATATTTTCGTTGAGCCGGATTGAGTTTTTTGCTGAAGAAGGCTAGTGGTTGCCAATCTTCTCCGACTCGTTGTTGAATTACTGCTCCTATGGCGGTATCAGATGCATCCGTTGTAAGCGTAACTTCTGCATCTTGCTTAGGGTGCGCCAGTAGAGTAGCCCTTGAGAGACTGCTTTTGCACTTTTCGAAGGCTTCGTCCAATTCTGTATTCCAGGTAATGGGAACCTTCTTTTTGGTTTTGGGCCCGCTGAGTAGACCATTTAATATTGTCTGGTCCTGTGCGGCCTCGGGAATAAATCTTCGGTAGAAGTTCAGTGTGCCCAGGAACTGTCGCATTTGTTGGACGTTCTCCGGCCTGGGAAATTGTTTGATTGCCTCGACTCTATCTGCGGGAGGTCGTGTGCCTTCAGCGGAGACCTCGTATCCCAGGAACAGAACCTTGTCGGCTCCGAAAACACATTTAGCTGTGCTCAGTAATATACCGTTTTCTTCTAAGCGTTTAAAAAGTGTACGCAGGTGCTTTTTGTGTTCCTCTTCGTTGCTGGAGGCGACTAAGATGTCGTCAATACATGCATAGCAAAATTCCAGGCCGCTTATAATCTCGTTGATGAAGCGCTGGAACGTTTGTGCTGCGTTGCGAAGTCCGAACGGTATAAAGAGGAATTCAAAGAGTCCGAAAGGCGTAGTTATCGCCGTCTTCGGAACGTCTTCGGGGTGTACGGGGATCTGATTGTACGCTCGTACAAGATCCAGTGTGGAGAAGATTCTGTTACCGTGTAGGCGTTGCGAAAAATGTTCTATGTGTGGAATGGGGTAGCGGTCGGGGACGGTCTTCGCGTTGAGTCTCCGGTAGTCTCCACAGGGCCGCCATGAATCCCCTTTCTTCGGCACCATGTGTAGTGGCGTCGCCCATGGGCTTTTTGATACGCGTATGACTCCTTCTTGAAGCAAGAGGTCAAACTCAGCTTTGGCTGCCTTGAGCTTGTCGGGGGCGAGTCTTCGTGGTCGACACGCTTCAGGTGGGCCGTCCGTCGTCTTAATATGATGCCTGGTAGCGTGTTTTACCTTTCGCGTCCCGGCAGTAGCCCGCGTAATCCCGGGAAATTCTGCCAAGATACGATGGTATTCGTTTTCTATCCCCAGCACCTTGATGGATTGCGTGGCTCCTTTCTCTGCCGTGCCTTTTGTAGTGCCTTTGCCGTGCGTAGTTCTGTTTTTCCATCTAGGAGAAGGCCTCGTTGTAGATCGGGTAACAGGTGATATTGTGCCAGGAAGTCAGCTCCGATGATGGGTACTGTGATGTTGGCGACGATAAAGCGCCAAGGGAAAGCAGGTCGTAACCCGAGCTCCGGCTGCAATGTAAGCCAGCCGTATGTATTTATTGTAGAGCCGTTTGCAGCGAAAAGTTCGTAGGTGGAAGACGCCGTGTAGCCCGCTGTCATAGAGCGTGGATATACACTGACGTCGGACCCTGTGTCAATGAGAAATCGCTTCTTGGTATCCCGGCACGTTATGAAAAGGCGGTGTTGTGATGGGGCGAGTCGGCTTGCCGCCGCTCGTGACTCCCCTTTTCGTTTTCCGATTTGTAGGTGCACGGCTGTGCATTTCTTAGCTTTCTCGCCGAATCTATTGTGATAATAACAGTGCTTCTCATTGTCTGTGCTTTTTGTCGGCTTCTTGCTGCGACTTCAGCTTCGTTTTCCTTCGTATTTCTTATCCCGTGTCTTGTCTCGGGAAAGATGCATGGCGAGAGAAGCAACTTGTTTTGTCAGAGCCTCTACTTTTGCTTCGAGTGAGGTTGCTGCAGGTGTGGACGTAGAAGCTACCACTGCCTTGCTTGTCATCTCGTGAATGCGATCGGCTTGCACTATGTCGTTAAGACAGTCGTCGGGCCTGGTGGCTAGAATCATCTGGGCTTGTTGTGGAAGTCTTCCAAGCCAGAGCGTGCGTAAGAGAGAATCTGGAACATTACTTCCGGCCAGGGTACGGAGATGTCGCAAAAATTGCGATGGTTTGCGATCCCCTAGCTCCTCTAACTTTAAGAGCTGTCGTGTGCGCTGTTCTTGGGAGATAGACATTCGCTGTATGAGCGCCTGTTTCACTGCTTCATATTTATTGGTCGCGGGAGGCTGAGTAATTACGTCTTTAATCTCCTTGATTTGAATTGAATTTAATTGCGATAGAGCGTATGAATATTTTGTAGAATCTTGTGTAATTCCGCTAATTATAAATTGACCTTCTAATTGTGCGAACCACAGTTCCGGTTCGTCGTTCCAAAAGGGGGGTACGCGAACGAGTGGCCTTCACTTGGACACAGTACAAGTGGACACTGTGCAAATGGACACGGCGCAAATAGACACGGAATATTGCACACGGTTCATGTGGACACAGAAATTTTGCACACAGAAAAGTTTCACACCGTAATATTGAACACGGCGCAAATGGACACCGTTCTTTT